TCCATTTTTGACCCATAGGTGTACCATATAAGGCTACTGACCTCAAAGATAAACTGTCCATTCAGCTAGTCTTCTCTGGACGGTAGTTCCACTATATACTTTTTATTAAAAGTGTTTATCTACCCTAATTCATACTAAGTTTGAATTTGGGGCATTTAACATAAATTACAAAATTTTTGACCCATAGGTGTACCATATAAGGCTACTGACCCCACAGATAAACTGTCCATTTAGCTAGTCTTCTCTGGAGGGTAGTTCCACTTTATACTTTTTATTAAAAGTGTATAGTGGATGCATGATATCTGAGATCATGCATAAGACCCATGTTTCCTTAATTTTGTCGAGCATTGAACTCAATTTTTGGGAAAGCAAGTGCAGACCACCGTGGGCGTTAATCCTATATAAACTATTCTTGTCCTTCTGGTCTAAATAAAGATCAGGGCGCGTTAGGCATAGAAGTGCATTAAAAAGCGGCTCCAGGCGATGATAGCATGCTCTAGTTGTCATTAAGCAGGCAGTCTTTTGTAGACTATTTAGTCTGCCTACAGTCGTCTTTCGGTAGGCCTTATTACACCAGACAATGGAGGCGTAGGTGATAATCAACCTCACTATGCTGCTGTACTGCCATATGATCATAGTGGAACGCAAGGTCCAGTTGTTCCCAACCATACAACTGCACGTACCTAAAACAATTTTTGCCGTACGTTGCTAAGGTGAGAGTTCCACGTTAGTTTTTGGTCGATTTTTACGCACAAATACTTAACTTTTTCGATAATTAAAAGAATCAAGCGTTACTTTGCGGAAATCCATTATATTGAAGTAGTTAGAGCTTAATTTGCTCATTTCGTAAACACAATGTGATGGGAGTGGTGGCTACGAGGATAGTGCATGCAATTGAGGAGGGTTAGGAGGTGCTCTTCAGACTGAGTAGGACACATCATTTTATTTTATTACGCTATTATGAGTAAATTAAGTTCTATTAACTTCAATTACAGGATTAAAAAATGCCTGAAAATATTGAGTTAAATTCTGGTTCGAACACCTTTAATATTCCTGCTATGTTCGCACCATTATTGTACTCTTGACCTCGACAATCATTCATGTCTAAGTCAAACAGTAGTACAATTGAATCAAGAAAGAGGCCAGTAAGTCCTTTTACCGAAGAGTCTTTGACTTCCTAATTAGCGTCAACAAAACGCAATGTTAGTGATAAGAGTGAGTGAATTGTTGACCGGTGCCCGGTGGTAGCGTTTTGGTTGATTTCGGCGCCCCCCTGAAGACGGCGCCCGGTGCGGTCGCACCGGTCGCACCGCTCTAGGGCTCCCACTGTTAATATTTTTGAAACTACTTAATATCTATTTTTTTAATTAATTTTGGTTCATACACTTTTTTGTGTTATTTTACGTCTGTCAATCTCTTATTTTTCTTGCATTTTCGAGCATTTAATATAGGTTCAGATTAATTTGCCTGTGCTTGTTTTAATCGCCGAGCGTCCAAAACCGCTAGGCTTTAAACTCGACACTATAGCTTTTTTACGTTTCCGTAGACTCGTAAGTATAACCCAATATTTTCTAAGGTTCCTTTAGTTGGGGATTTCATTTTATTTTTTAGTCATAGTGTTGCCAGATGAACTATCAACTACATCGTTTAGTATCTTCGTCTTTACACGAGATTTTTGTAGAAGAGCTTTTGATACACCTGCGCCTATTCTATCTAGGCTTGATTGTCTACCTTTTCATTTGTGAAATGTGGAAGCAGAGGGAATCGCTTAGTATTAGTTAACCTCCAGGTATATTCCTTTTCGTATAACACCTTCGACAGACCACGGAATATCTGCTAAATACTATGATGGACTTTATTTATTTTTGTTATAATTTCTAGATATCTTGTATACGTAAAAAAAACTTGACAATACAATACAATACACTTTATTTTACACCAACGAAACATAAATATAACAAAAAAATGAACATACAATGAGGGGAAAACAAAAGGTGGTCTTATTGCTACACAGAAATCTCTTCCAGACAACCCAGAAGAAATTAATAAAAATATGGAAAGATTAACGGGTAGGGTGCACTAAATAGAAAAAAATAATTTAAAAAATACATAGTAAATAAGTAGATCCGAAGAAACTTTCCAATTACTCATAACCAAGAATACACAATTAGTTACATTATTTTCAATTAATCCGATATTTTCATTTAACCCATTAGATGGTATCACTGAGATAAAAGTAAACATGCGGTTTCATACAAAAATATGAAATATAACCTTTAAAGTACATGCCCAATTACTACTCAAGATCATGATCCTTATCATTCCTATGAAACAATCGGTAATGCATATTTACATTGTTTTTCCAGACTAAAAGGTCATAAAACATCTCCGCACGAACCCGTCTTCCTAAAAAAAATATAACCAAATGCGGTTATATAAAGTTTTCCATTAGAGTAATAGGTGTCATCAAAACGGTGGTAAAAATCCTTTCAACACCATGTTTTTGAGTTCCATTAAGAATTTCAAAACATAATTTTCAAAAATTGTTTTCAATCACCCCTGTTTACAATTACCCTGTTTGACTATAACCTAAAGTGGTAGTTTGTTCAAGTAACCTGTCTCTCTTACCAGTTGGAGGTAAGAGAGAAGGAGACGATCGCTGTAGGAAATAGTGTCCCAGAAATATGGACACCATAAGTAAGGCGCTGCAATCGCTAAGTTGTCTCAATAAAAGTCATTTTCAGTCTATTTTTCAGATTAGATGCTAAACCACTTGCAAATCCAGGCACAATACAGTATTTCACCATTTTTAACACTAGAGTGCACGCGCCCTTAAATACTCCTTGAGCGCACGCGCGGGATACATGTATAGACCAGTTGCGGATCAATTATTTCTCTGAATAAGACAAAACAATGAGTAAAACACAGCATATAGTTACTAAACATATTTATTTTTATCAAATTGGTTTATAAAATCAACAAAATTTTGATTCCTTAATATAATTTAAAACTTAAACGTAAACCTCTTAGAAATCAACAAATGTTTGGAAGGGTTGATATCTCTTATTTTCATTTAAGAACATAATATTTATCATTTAAGGCATTTATTTGGCCTAATTGAGTCTCTAATCAAAGTAACGGGTAACATTCTTCAACTTCTATTGGCTTACATTCAGGACACACGACTGCCTGATGTTCGTCACATATACGCCTCATACATTTGCTGCATTGTTAGCGCGTGCTAGGGTTACGAGCCCTGCTGTAAAAAGCACATCGATCCAAAGGCATATTTTGTTGTAGGGGTTGTTCTGCCAATCTTAGAAGTAGTCTGCCTTTCAGTTTAATACCTCTGGGTATATTTTGTTGGGATATACGACGCTCAATAGAAGGTCGTACAAGATCAAATTCAACATCTAGGAGGTATTGACGACGGATCAATTCCATTTGATGGTTGTTCATCTGATATATCACCAAACTATTTATGCCCGCCATGTTTAAAAAATTGTATAATATCGTGAGAGGCCATCGGTTACTGTTGCGAGAAACGTCATATTGTCTACACACTTTATTAAAAATATCAACGCCGTATTTACGTGATTATAAAATGTGATGATTTCAGGTTTTCTAGCATCACCAGTCACAGCATCAAATTTGTCATCATTGTAGAGGGTAGAAAATAACAATACCCGCTCCAAATGTCGTCGTATTCATTATCCTCCAGCAGCCATCTTTGTATTTAGTCGCACAATCTAATCGAGTTTCTCATCACCTAAAAAGTGAACAAAACAGTATAAAGCTACATGAAAAATCTACAAATACCAACAATAAACAGTTAAAAATTAATTAACTGTACATTTTGTAGTAATACTGCAAGAAATGTGTCATATTTACCTCAATTTCACCACTTGCACACTAAACACTTATTTTCCTCCAACGCTCGCGCGGGCTACAGGCGTAGCCCACCAACTTCAAGGACGATTTTTGCGGATATCCTTGAGCCACGAGAGTCGGCACGCTGCTGGCGGTAGCGGGGGGGTAATACTTGAGGAATACACCTAGACGATTGCGCTATAGTGCGGCAAGTTAAAATGATATACGACAATATTACTAGCTGGGTTACATATGTAGCCCGCGCGTGCACTCTAGTGTTAATGTTTTTCTTTGTCAAAAATTTAAAAAAAATTATGAAGCACGATTATTTTCTCACCAATGCCACGAAGAAAGTTTGTACATTATTCAACTAACTTCATCTACTTGTACTCACAAACAGCTAACTTCGCAGCCACTACTCACCGACGGCAGCGCTGCTATAAATTCTACAAATTTTCAAGGACAGGCGGGCTATGCTTTAGTACGTAGCGATCGTTCTCCTGTTCTCTAACCTCCATGCTTACTTCCATGCAAGTAACTATAACTACCTTTTTTCATTTAAATATATTAGAGACAAGGCCTTCAGCCAAAAAAAAAAACATCGAACGCTGTAACTTATTTATAAATATAATAATAAATTTCTTTACAATAAGTTGATGCATCACATTGCGATACTTTTAGAAGATTTGAATTACAGCTTAAGCCAGCAGACAGTCGATAGTAACAGCATCTCAAGTTTTTAAGACACATAAGCGAACAAAATGACGAGCTTTATATCAACATCAGAGCACTCACATATCTGTGATGTACTTGTTACCAATTATTTGTTTGCGGGTCAAAACGGGAAGTATGGTTCTCCTTTTAATAACTTATGAACAAAACGATACCATAGACATTATTTTAAAGCGCCCTCTGTAAGCTAGCAATCACGAATTATTTAAAATTTTCGGTTTGTTGTGAAATGTCAAACGTTCAACCGTTGAGGAGTGTAAACAACCTGTGAGTGAAGATTTTACTCAAAATTAACTTTATAAAGTGGTTGAAACTATAGTAAAGAGTTAAAGAGAGAGATAATAAAGTTATGTTAATAGTGTGACTTGAGGGTTATTGTGTAGTTCGATTTTGTAAATATGGATCCTTTTACTCAGGTAGGTTGCTGTATTTGAATAACGACTTTAGATTTTAATTCATACTTAATATATTTTCAATTGAAGATTCTAATTGGTCGTCTTTATATTATAAGTCAAATTTGCTTTTAGCGTATGTTAGAAAGGGCGCGGGCTAGACAGGAGAAAATTGACCAAAAGCTGGCAAATTCTGGACAGGCTGTGCCAAAACGGAGGCCTTTAGCTGAGAACGTTGGAATCGTTAAGCCTCAATCTTCCCCAAATAAGTCACCTATTAAACCTTCAAGGGAATCTGTAATATCGCCGAAAAAATCAACCAGAGATTCTTTAAAGAATGATATACAGAGAAAAAGTATACAAAAGCCTGATCTTGTAGTTGCTTCGCCACTGAAACATAACGACATAGTGGTGACGAAAAAGGAGTTTAAAAGCCCTAACAGGGGAAGCTTAAACAGACGCAACTCTGATGTATCTGTAGAGATTAACATTTCACACAGAAATGATATACAAATAGAAGTGCAAGTTGAAGAAAGGGAGATGCCTATCAGTATAGTCTATGATCCAAACTTAGAAAAAGGCAGTAGTGTAACTATTAAAGAAATTGAAGGTAAGATAATTTTCTCTAATTCAAATAAGTAAATGGTAATAATCAATATGGGAAAAAGGTTTTCAAGTGGTAGACCCACTAGACGGAGTGACAGCTGACAGTGACAGGGAAGTCATGCTCTTTTCTGCTTAGAAGGAGAGAGGCTTATTATTGCCACCAAAAAGCAGTGATTGCACTGCTGTGTTCCAGTCAGAAAGGGTATAGTCAGAGAGCCTGTATAACTACTGGCTTTAAGACATTCTATCTTAGTTTTCAGTGGTGGCAATGCATCTCTAGCCTTCTTTGTTTGAATCTGGCTTCAGATGTCCATGGAATGCATTAGCCAATTCCCATCAGGTGGATTGTAAGTGTAGTGGATGTGTGAAGAGCTGTAATGATGATAACTATAGATCGGATATTTGGATTTACCTAAAGTTGAGATGTCGGCTATTGTGGAAAGCACTTTTACATCAAAAAAATTCTGGGATTCCGGGAAATTCAAATTTAAATGTATCCTCCGTGACTGTGATATGCCATAAACCAAGTTTGACACAAATGAAAGTTGCCATGTGGGTTGATTTCCCCTACTTTTATTATCAGTGATTTTTGACGAAGCAAAACTATCCTTATTATGTTGAAACAAGTGTAAGTTTTGAATAGTCAGTAGAATCAGACGTAACATCATCATGTTCAACAAGTAAATATACATCCGATTAGTAATGCTATCCCGGAATCCCGAGATTTTATTTTCAATAATATTCTAAGAAGCCGCTTCCATATTTTGTTAGCCAAAAAATAACTTTAGGTAAATATGCATCCAATTATCCGATCTCTAATGATGACATTTAATTATTTGTCTATGTAATAATAATGCACCTCTGACCAGATTTCGGTCACTGCTGTGTCTCAATGGAATCAAGATATTTGTACAGGTTAAAATTATAGTGCTTACACAAGTGCAGGCATACCCTCTTCCCTCACTCATAGTCCAATAGGATGCCAATCTGATACAATCAGATCTAGCATTAATTTTAGGCTTTATGTGCTTTCCGAGGCACAGGAATAAAACAAAGCCAAAAGCCCTACTCCAGGCTGCTACTGAGAATTTCTTATCAGAAAAACTCAATAACTGAATTTTGGCTTCACCCAGGATTCAAAACCAGGACTACAAGATTAGCAGTTGCTCTTACAAGCACTAGACCAAACAGGCAGTCTATCTGTGTGACTATGTGATTCGTCATGAGAGGCCTTAATCAATAATGGCCAGCTTTTTGATGGTATTCTATTTTGCCTTAAATTATACAGTTGTTGCGTTGAATTTAATGAAAAACATGAATGGTATTTTATTACATGCATGATAAGATCTTAACTCTATGTGTGAAATAACAGTAAATTAATAAACATTATTATATTTATTATATAACCATAGGAAAAATGAGGTTTGATAATAAGAGAATGTTTGATTAAAACTACTTTTACGGATTTTATCGCGTTTTATTTATTTTATTTTCATTACCCAACATTTCGGGTGCTTTCCAGCACCCATGGTCACAGGGGACTGACTGACTGACTGTCCCCCGTGACCATGGGTGCTTGGAAGCACCCAAAACATCGGGTATTAAAAAATAAAATTAATAAAACGCTATAAAATCCATAAAAGTAGTTTTAATCAATGTATAGTGTTCGCGTAAATATAAGAAATCATTAAGAGAATGTTTGCTAAACTAAAGTTACTAAAATGTATACCAATCAAGAGTTATTTTAGTGTTAGACATATGTTACAGCTATGTACTGCAAACTGGAAAACGAGAAATAGAATCACAACATAAAATCACAACATTCATATGTCAATCCAATGTATGTCAATTATATAGAAAGGCTTTATAATCTTGGATATAAATCAGTATAGCCATGTTATATTTATTTGTACCAGATTGACCGACTTCAGTAACAGGAAAGGTGCAACATTTTGGTACTATATTTTCTAAACCTCCAATTGTTTAATATCAGAGAAGCCTATATTTAGCATTGGATTGTTTAATGGATTGATATCAATGAGCCATTTCCATGACTATTTGTTCAGTGGTGTTGTATTTTAACATTTTGTTCTTGTAACTGTAATATTATCAACTTCCCTTTGATTGAATGCTGCCTATTGTGTCATACTTGTGAACAGGAGCTGACATTTTTTTTATTAGAAACGGATGACAAGTGAGCACACAGTCCACCTGATGGTAAGTGGATACTGTGGCCATACACTACCGTAGAATGAAAATGCGTTGTCACATGTTGTGACTGACATGGAATGCCTTGTGTCTGGTGAAAATAGTCTCCGATTCTCTACACTCACCGTATGAAACACAGCAGCATTAAAATGCTATTTTTCGTTGGTATTCTGTGAGGGCGTGGTCCTAACCCAGTTGAGCCGACCCATTCGTGTTATGATCATAATATATGTGGATTGGCTCTACCATTTAAAAAACAACCATTTTTTAAATTTAATTTGTCTGTCCGGACTAATCCTCAAAATGGCTGAACTGATTATTATGAAACTTTACAAACATATAGAGCAGTGTCTGGACGAATCTAGGCTATAGTTTATAATAAAACTTAAATATTATTTTTTGAAAAAACAAATTGATAATTGGTCTTTCGTTATCTTAAATCTAAATAACACCATATATCCTGTACAGACAAAGTCAGGGCCTGTTGCTATATATGCATATAACTTTTCGTAATATGTCAAACTAAATATTTTATGTATGATTATATTAAATAGTATGTTTACATGTAAATTTATTTTTAAACATTGTCCTAAAAAAGAAGAGCTTTAGAAACTTTCAATAATCGAAGTATGAATTCTGCTTCTAAAAACCTTAAATTTTTAGGGCTAGATTATCTACTATAGGTACCTGTTGCTTTTTTTGTTTAAAATTGATCCACCACACTAGGAATTCTTCTTACTACACTTAATAATTTTAATGGTGCTGATAGGGTTTATATATTGTTTTAATTTGTTTACAAGGGGTCGCTCCATAACTGATACCAATGTTGAGCTTATTAAACATATTTGCTGTGCATGGGAGAATTCAGAGGATGCTTTGGGTATATTTTTTATCTTTCCCAGGCTTTTGACTGCGTTCACCATGAGATATTAAAGCAGGAAGCTACATAATTATGGTGTAAAAAATATAGTACTCAAACTTATTATATCATATCTAAATTATGGAACACAAACAGTTGTTATTGTTGGTAGTATCTATGGGTGTTCCTCAGGGCTCAATTCTTGACCCTTTCAGTTCTTAGTTTATAATAATCACTTACCTTATTGGCTAGAAAATAATTATGATATAGTTTTATTTGCTGATGATACTTCGTTGATTTTCCGACTTTAAAGGCAATTTTTAAATATGAAGAAGTGAACAATGCTATATCAAAAGTAGTACATTGATTTAACATCAATAATTTGCTTTTAAACAGTAATAAAACAAAATGTATTAAATTCACCACACGTAATGTTAAGCATGTGAATGCCAGTGTGCTTTTAAATGGGGAGGAGCTGATCCTTGTTAAATCCACTGTTTTTCTCGGAATTACAGTTGACACGAAGTTTCAATAGGGCTCGCATATATCTAAACTAGCTAGCAAACTTAGTTCTGCAGCATATGCTGTAAAAAGATTAGTGGCCTACATTTTAAAACAGCTAGATTAGTTTATTTTAGTTATTTCCATAGCATAATGTCATATGGAATTTGGCTATGGGGTAACACAACAGACATTGAAACTCTTTGTTTTGCAAAAGAGAGCCATAAGAGCAATTTATAACATAGATCCAAAGATATCCCTTAGAGAAAAATTTTAAGAAATAAATAAATTAACTATGGCCTCTATATTTAGGAAAATTTAATGTATGTAAATAAAAAATAGTTTTATTAAAATAGTGATGTACATTATGTAAATACTAGGAACAAGCACAAGTTAGTTATACCAGTTACTCGACTCAAAAGAATTAGTAATTCTTTCAGGAGCAATGTATATGCCTCTACAACAAAATCTCAGAAAATGTGCAGACCTTATCTATCAAAAGTTTTAAAATATTTATGAAAGTTGTTTAGTAAGGGTTATTATACTACTATAGAGTACATTATGATGGATCATAACTCCTGGGAATGAGGTGATTGCTTCCATGCTGTTTCTAAAAGTCTTTATAATAATAATTGTGTAAATATAATACTGCTTTTTTTTCTTTAAAGAAAAAAAAGAGTTCCGCTGGGTTTCTTGCTGGTTCTTCCCAAGACAGAGGTTTCTTTCCTAACCGGTGGTAAAATTAAAAAAATACTTTTAATAAGAATTACATGTAATCAATATTGAATAAAAATGATTCTATTCTATTCATAACTGCTATGAAATTTCTAATCAGTGCTTATGGAATCACAGTTTGGCAATGACGAAAATAAGTTATTTTTAACATCATAATAAAACCTAAAATATTTTTAATTGATCAGTTTCTTATATAATTAGGATGAGAAAAGGTCATTAACATTATTGTAAATGATTTGCTATAGAATAAAGTATATTGTTTTCCTGTAAACAAGTCTTCATTCTGCACATTAGTCATTCATTTTTGAGATTAACGTTCCAGGGAAGCATTAGCAAACAATGTTTACTTTTGGCAAGTTTGTTTAAATGTTAATTGCTTGTAGCAAATCTTAGCAACACCTCTTAGTATTCCTTGTGCTTTAGTGATTGGTGTACACAGTTTTATCAGTGTTGCGTGTTGTAGCTACCCCAACTATTCAAACATGACAGTAAACACAGGTAAATAAACTAAATTGGCCCTGTATTTGTATTAACAATATTTTATTTATAAATTCTTTGTCTTCTTTCAAGATTAATACTTGATTAAAATATGTCAAATAATATTCACTGAGGTGTTGTTCGTTTCCTGTTGCAGACTTACCTTCTCGGTAAAATATGAAAAACTTTAAAAAGTGTAATTTTTGAAAATAACTTCTGAAGCC